ACTGCAGCCATAGTAGAGTTACTGACCGAAAGTCGATGCTTAAACGCCATCTTTTGGGAATAAACGACAGGGGAGACTTCATTTTTGAATTGGATATTGCGACGCGTTCCTCTAATTGGTTATTAAACCAGAATTTATTTTTGATTTGAATTTCTTACCCTTTGTGCGCTTTCTTACTGCTGCAAACGCAGTACAAACAAAAATCGGAATAGGTAATAAGAGGTTGATTGAAATTGTAGAGAATGTGCCTGTGTAAATATATGTGAAGACGTGCACGTTGTAAACGTATTTGATGTGACAAGGATTTTCGAGAGATAGTAGTGTTTATCCAGTGTTTCATACGAATTATAAGCGTATAATCCAATTGTTGAGTAGGTAGTTAGAAACTCAAGATCAATTTTAGCGCTCTCGCCTCTTTAAAAATTCACTCAAGCCGATTTTCTTTTTAATGAATATTTAAATGAGCTGCCATTTCGCTGATGGTGAAATGAGAATTGTAACGAAGTGAAAGGGAAAATGGAATCAAAACAAAGCTCCGGAACTGAAAGAAATATTATAATTAAGTGACAACTAATTTTTTGAAATTTATTTTGGGAGCGCGTTAATGTTTGGATGGCACATGCAGTACACTTAAAATGTAAGTAATTGCTCCATTTTACTTTCGAGTAGGATCTCTTACACAATTAATAAGTTGAACTTTCTTTGTTGTGGATCGATCGGAATGTTTCTAACTCTCTAGTGTTTTCATTAGTATAATCGTACCATTAGACGCACAAATGTCTTCGTTTGAATATAAAGGGAAGTTTTTAATACATAGAATTAGAAGATTTTCCATTTTTACGACCACGAAGGAAATAAAATTACAAATTTGCCAAAGCAAAACGTGGCTGCCAAAGGTGGGAAAACGGCTAACACACCCAAAGAAATGCTGCACTGTATTTGAAACGAGGAATCGGCAAAAGGTCGTTGGTTTCGAACGACAAAAGAAATTAGAAAAAGAAGAAATATTTTCTCACCCATCACCTGGACCTGGAAACATTTATTTAGAACAAATTAAAGAATATAATCTTATAGAATAACAAGAGAATACAGAATAATAAGGAAATGACTACCATATACTACCATACTACTACCACTATGATACAACATTACTATTATGATGTAATAAACTGCAAAGATAGTAAAACAATACAAGAACATTGTTGCAAGCTTTGCTTGGGTGAACATTAAGGTGGCGTTTACAAAAAGTGCAAAAGTTGCCTTGCGATTTCCTCAATTACTTTCTTTCGAGGTAAAAAAATGAACTTCTGTTAACGACCGATGGCTGCTAAAGGTTTAAGGTTGTGAATGAAGTTAAATTTGATAACAAATTATTATCAGTGTGTGATAAAAATGAAAGATATATATTTTATATGGGAGTTTTTTAAGAACTTCTTTTCTAAATAACGGCGAAAGTCATTCTTGACGAGCGTCAGTTAGAAAAATATGGAAAACCTTTGAAAATGAAAATAAACTGATAAGTTCTTTAAGGGTTTTGGCACATGATGAATTGAACTAAAATATTTTCAAGATGGCGCCACTTCCGGAAATACCGGAAGTAGCCATCAACTTTGTTATTTTAAATAGGGATCCCCTATTTTTTCATTTTCATTTTCGGATTCTACGTCGAATTTGGAGTACAACGATACCCCATAGTTGACCCTTTGCTCCAAGAGCTTCGTCGATATTCAAGTTTTTATGTCAAAAATTGAATTTGCAGGGGTAATTTTAAAAATTTATTATTGGAAAACGGTGAGAGATAATGCAAAATAGTTTTCAATACTTTATTAAGGAAAGATCGAATTTTCTTATAGTATACGAAACCGTCTAAAAAAGTGAGACTACGTCACTTTTTCAAAGCTCTTAACTTTTAAATTTTTAAATCCATAACCCCATTTTTTTAAATGGCACCCCCCATTTTGTTCTTCGCCGTTGTTTTCCTTTTTCCCACACCTTTAATTTGATACAAAATGTGAAAAGCTGCTTCAAACGGTTTCCGAGATATTCCATGTTTTAGTTACTTCTTGTAGCAAATTGATAAAAAAATTAATCCGCTTGATGTTATTCTTATATTCTTATAGAATGTGGCCTGTAGAATCCATAATTTCAAACAGTTCCAAGATCGGACTACTAGATCAAAAGTTACAGCCCTTTGAATTTTTTGTCGAAATTGATTTTTTGCCCATAACTTTGATTGAGACGTCTAATCGAAAAAGAACGAATCGTTTTGGATTCGAAAAAGTACGAATCTACGCACCCAAATTAATAAGAAAAAGTTTTTTCCCGAGAAATTTTGGTGCAGTCGATTTTTGGTAAAAAAGGAAGGTAATAAACTGCTTTTTTTTGCCCAGAAAAAAAAATTGTCTCAGATCGACCGGAAAAAAATATTTTCTTATAGAATGTGGCCTGTAGAATCCATAATTCCAAACAGTTCCAAGATCGGACTACTAGAAGTTACAGCCCTTTGAATTTTTTGTCGAAATTGGTTTTTGCCCATAACTTTTGATTGAGACGTCTAATCGAAAAAGTACGAATCGTTTTGGATTCTACGCACCCAAATTAATCAGAAAAAGTTTTTTCCCGAGAAATTTTGGTGCAGTCGATTTTTGGAAAAAAAGGAAGGTTATACACTGCCTTTTTTTGCCCCGAAAAAAAAATTGTCTCAGATCGACCGGAAAAAAAATATTTTCTTATAGAATGTGGCCTGTAGAATCCATAATTTCAAACAGTTCCAAGATCGGGCCACTAGATCAAAAGTTACAGCCCTTTGAATTTTTTGTCGAAATTGGTTTTTTGCCCATAACTTTTGATTGAGACGTCTAATCGAAAAAATACGAATCGTTTTGGATTCTACGCACCCAAATTAATAAGAAAAAGTTTTTTCCCGAGAAATTTTGGTGCAGTCGATTTTTGGTAAAAAGGGAAGGTTATATGTATACCCAGAAGGAAGTTATTGTGGAAACAAATTTCCACTCTTTCAATGTAAACGCCACCTTAAGATTTACATCCCTAACGCTACATTTGGTCATTCGAGCCGAATTGCACTAGTGACTAGGACTTACAACTCTCCCGCTATATTTGGTCCTTCGATCCATTCGACGAATGAATACCGCGTTACCACAAGGGTTCCGCTCACAGTGAAATGCAACATTTTGAAGTAAGTTTAAGTGCCCAAAAAAGAAAATATAGAGATGGAAAGAAAATATAGAGATGGAAAGGCTGACCAGGGAGCGGTTCAAGCTCGCAACGTTCAGACAATGCCACTCCAATTGGATTTATAAAATCAGTTTTCCATTTAAAGTTAGTTTGTGCAAAATTCAAGCAAGGAAATCTCCAAACTCATGGATCCGCTATGATTAACGTAATTTGTGTATTAAAAGATTGTGTCTTTGGCGTTAAGTTAGGAGCAATTCATAACGACCGTGGACACGAACTTGATTTAGTTATTCTGAAATTTATAGCGAAAACAAAAACTAAACATAGTAAATCATGTAAAGGGAAATGTAAATTGGAACTATTTCACTATTTCATTTATTTTTCATCAATAGGTAGGTAGGTATCTAAAACTATATGATCACTTTGTGTTTAATTTTGGGAGCACGCAGTTTAAAAAACAAGTTTTGGGGCAATTTTCAGAAAAATAAAGAAAAAAGGAGAAATCTTGAGTACGTCACCGTAAGATTTATGTCACGGGCTAGCTCGGCTGGGTCAGTTAATTATTCACTTTGAAAGTCAAATTTTATTTCAAAGAAGGGATGGTCAACCCCCTTTATCTGCAAACCCGTTACTGAATAGTCAGAAATTGGATATCGGTACTCCAACCGTACGGATATATTTTTACGATCCATTTGCAACAATGTAACTCGTCAGTATAATCTTTGTACAATATGATTGTGTCTGAGAATTTCAAGATGTTCTGTAAAAATGCGGTAAACGAACAGTGAATGCGAATGGGCGAAGTAATAACATACCGAGTGATGAGTTGCGAGACGCAAAATAGATGGTAAATATGTTGTAATTTTCCAAATAGAAAAATCAATCATTCTGAAGGCAAACGAGCGTGCGTATATTTATGATTAATCCGTTTTCAGTTCTAAAGGAATGCATCAGTTTTTTTTAATTCAAGGAAGGAAATGCGCTGTTGCATAGTCTTCAATACTTTATTGTAATTGTAATCGACTTTCCATCCTCACCGTACGAGCAACTCGCTTTCTAGCCTCAAAAGCCGAGATGTAATGTATTCTAAAATCTGTCTAGGAAAAATTTTATTCGATTAAATAAAGTACCAAAACCTTCTTACACACAAATGCCAACCACAAAGTGTTTGAAATTTACCCGTCCGTAACTGTGTTTGCTTAAAATGTGCGTGATACAGAGTTTTCCTCTAAATTAAGCTAAGCAAAAAGATGGTCACTCGTCTGTCCCATACTGCCCACATTGTAACTGACACAAGACACACTTTACTTAATATAAAATCTTCTCTTCCCAGTAATGGCTAATTTCTATCAAGGCTCAACCATTTTCTGGGTTGTAAAATTCATTCATTCCACCTTTATGAAAGCAGGGTATTAGGAAAACCCTTACTTTCCTAAAATAGCTTTATGATTTTATCGTTGGGGTAGAATGTTTGCCTTATAATGATATCATTTTACAGTCAATATTTATGAGTGTAATTACCTAAAAAAATGGTTTCATCTCCGCATTGCGGATTCGCAAATACAAAGAACGAATTCAAAGTGAAAGAGAATGTACAGATAGAAATGTACGTATTTTCACTGAAAACAAGTTTATGAGTATTATGTTATCTTGCTCGTGTAATTAGACATCGTTTCACTTTATTTTTCGTAGTTCGAATTACCTATGTTCGAACATCAAAGGAAGCGCATTTCAACGTGCACTAGAACTTTTTACAATGAGACCATCAGAAAGCAACGTGTAATTAAACAGACGCGGGTACTTACCGCTTGAGATGATTGCAATTGATCGCCATTTCATTTGCGCGACGCTTTGGGCGAACGTTTCGGCGATGTACGTTACCGATGGGCTAACTCTGTAAGCGTCAGCCTCATCATCGTCCTTTGTATTCTGCAAACATAAACAAGCGTATAGAGCAAAAAGAAAACGACGCGGATTATTACCTGAGGGCAGTTCCACGTAACCAGGGTTACGTTATGAAATTTTGCCATAAGATAAGCCGAGGAACACAGAGACGGTTTCAAAGACCCCAAAACGTATTCTTTGGAGCTCGATATTATTTCCAATATCCTTTGATGTTCGCTACAAATATCTGGAAAAGAGAGAGAAATTGCTTTCGGATTTTCTAATATTTACAACCTAAATAAAAAATACGGAGCGGAATTAGTATAGGTGTGCGAGGAATTTGTTTTATTCTACAGGCTTACCGCTGCAATTTAATTGCAATTTTTCTACTCATTGCGGGATAATTGTAAGCGCAATTAAACATGTTCTGCATATTCCTGCATATTTGGCCCACTTTGCATTAACGTGACTCAGTGAATTTTAATGTTTAAATAATCTTATAAATTCATTCTCGTAAAATGTAAAAGGTTACGACCAAACAAATATGTTTGAAAATGTGTGAAAAATTTCGTTATGGTAAAATACAATCCTAAAGCTCATTTTATACGCTCAAAGTAGGTGAAAAGCGCACCTCATCATTGTCGAAATGAATTTGAGAATGCTGGCGATTGATGTGGCTTTAATCTTAGCCATCTTCCACCAGCAACCCCCCAATATGAACTGTTCTAATTGGAAGTGACGGGCCCTCACCGAAAAATGTACCTACTGAGTTTATGTTACACTTTCTGCAAAGGGTTCGTAATCCATCCTATTTTTCCATAGGCCACAATTTACAGTTTGTACTTGGTGTAACACATTATTTCAAACTTTTTGAATCTCCCTGGTTCATGTAGGCTATTACCTTTCACGGTTTCAAAATAATCAACAGTTCATTTCTTATGGAGATGAAAACGACAATTGTCGACGATATTCACAAATTTGTGTACGAAATTGTCTATAATAACTGAAATGTTTCTTTGTTTTCTTTTTGATTAAAGTGACTAAATTTGAAGTAGTTGCATTAAGTTAATGTGCGCTCATAAAAGTATATGGCGGAGCGTTAGTGCAATAATAAAAGCGCAATGTTCTTTCCACGTTAAACTTTTGTACAAATAAATTACAGGTGCAACGATACTCTTTAATTTTTAATCTTTAAAAATAGTTATTTGTTTCATTAGTACAAAAAATGTCAGTTTTCGGGACGAGGAAGATAGTTGCTGGACGACGCGTTAGCGGAGTCCAGCAACCTTCCGAGTCCCGAAAACGCATTTTTTTGTACGAATAAAACATAAAATTTTTTCTCCAACCCCCTTTACTTCAAATTATATTCGAATTTAGATTCAGTCACAGTTTCACTACTATAGTATAAGGACTTCTGCTTTCTTGTCCTCACGTGTCATGCCACTGTAGTTTTTAGGTTAACTTATAACCTATTCGTTCTAACTTCTTACTTCTCACCTCTCGCGACTTTGTAGGGAGCAAATCTTGAGGTAGCACGTTCTGCCGTTTCTATAATCTCTGGCGGAGTGCAATCCATGTCGCTATCAGTTTCAGTCATTTTATTGTATACACAATTAATATTGTTATATTTTGTATTGAAATAAAATACTTACCATACAGTTTTTTAATTAAAATTAATTGCAATTAACTTTTTCAAATTTTGAATTCAAAATGACAGATAATAGTGCAATGGGTCTGAAGCAGTTGGCGTTACGCGTGACGGCGGGTTGTATACGTATTAAAATTACGTTCAGGGAATATGTAAATTACGTTACACATGGTTTAAATAAAAATAGCGAGCGTAAATCATTTTCAATACATGTGCATACGTATAGGTAACATCATTATTTGCATTGAATATGCAAAAATATTTGATTTGTATGTATAGAAATATCTTACAACCTGCAATGTAAAACGATGTCAATGTGACATATCTCCGTGATTGTAATTTTTTAATTGGCCAACTTTCAAGGTCAATTTCTTTTTGGTACTAGGACCAAAAGTATCCACTTTTTGTACAGTTGCCATGGTGAAAGCGATTAATCCGCAAAACGTCAATTTTAGGTACCGAACACTGTCACAAAATAGCGTCTTATTCAGGTGGTTGGAGAAAAAAGCTCTTTTTAGATTAGCGCCTCGCAATTATTTTCTTTCTCTTTATGATGTACGAGTATAATTGGTTTCATTTAAACGTCACTTTCGCAATGTTTGCATTGAACTTTTCGCACAAAAATTTTTCGGTCCACATAAAATTAGTCAGGACCAGGACTAAATGAGCAATAGCCAATGTTGGAAAGTTTTTGGGTGTGAACACTGCTGCATTTTTTACCATAATAGCAGAAATGAAAAATGCGGAGGAAAGGAAGGAAATGAAGAGAAGAAAAGATGGGAGAAGGAGAAAAAAGAATTGATGGGAAGGATAACTAAACACGAAGATAATGAAAGAAAGGAAAAAGAGAGAAGATAAGGAACACAACTATAAAAGGAGTAATGGTGGAAAATACATAGATGAACTGAAAAAAGAAGAAAGTGATAAGGGCAAGAAAGTAAGATGGGGCAGGGGAACACAAGATAGAAAGTCAAAAGAATACAACAACGAGGAGGAGGGGGCGGAGGTTGGAGAAGAAAGCATTATGCGGGTCACTCTGTAATTGGGCGCAAGCCTGTTGAGAGCCCAGACCAAGAGAGGGATAATAAATAAATAAAATAAAAGATTAAACAAAATATTGACGGAGATGGGGATGGGCAATACACATACATGACAGAGATAGGAAGGTTGATAATTGAATACACACTATTAAACGGAAAAATGTTGGAAGCAATATATTTTCAGGTAGGAGCAATAACAGAATCGGATTGCCAACCCATGGACATAAGGCTTACAGGAATGATAAAAAGAGCAAGAAATGAAAAGATTCAAAAACAAAGGGAAATACAGTCAAGAACAAGAGACGTGGTGGAGGAGTATACAAAGAACGTAGAAGAGCCAGTTTATGAAATAAGAGAGAGCACAGAGGAATGGAAAAATATGAAGGAAAGTATTAAAAAGGCAATAACATGGAACTATGTAAAGGAAGAGGGAGAGCAGAGAGGAGAGATAAAAGAAAGGAATTGTAGAACAGAGAGTGTACAAAACACATACAGAGCAATGATTGAGTGAGAAAGAAAGGGAGAAGGGAGGAGAAGGAGGTGACAGAACAGAAAAATAGCACACGAGAATATGTAAGGAAAAAAAGATGAAGAAACAGAAAGAATAAGGAGAAGAAATCAGGGAAATAAAAAACAGAAAAGGACTTTTGGAAGATGATCATCAAAGGAAAGGGAAAAACATTTAGTGGAAGAGAAATACAAATAGAGGACGGAAAGCGGCATTTTATAGTGGATAGAATAACAAGAACAGAGGAGATAGAAGATGAGAACAACAATTAAAGAGGGGTAAGGCGGCAAGGTTGAGCAAAATGGGAAGAGGATTACCAGAAGAATGGAAGGAAGGGGCAATAGTGCGCCTATTTTCAAAAGAGGTGACAAGGGGCGTATGGAAAATGATAGCGGAATCACGATAATGACGACGGCGTATAGAATCTACGCAATGGTACTGAGTGCAAGATCAGAAAGAAAAGAGAAAAGAATGTTGGGGGAAACACAAATGGGCTTTTGAAAAGGGAGCAGAACGATTGAGTGTGTATATGTATTAAACAGAGTGGTGGAAAAGGAATTGGATTAAAAGAGCGGAACGGTGATAGTGTTTTTCATGGATCTAAGAGCAACGTTTGACAGAGTAGAAAGGAAAAAGTATGGGAAATGATGGAGGATAGAAAAATATCCAAAAAGAAAGGTGGATAAACAGGAAATTAGAAAAAAGAGAAGAAATGAAATTAATGTATATTTCGTAAAAAGTCAATTGGCATAAATAAAAATCTACCTCGGGTTTATTTATTTAGGTAGCCACTGATTTGCATCTTTCTCTGTTTATACGCACAACAAAATCACATACAATTTTGTTAAAAATATTAAAAAGATTCCACTGAATAAAGAAAGCTGTCGACTTCCATCAGTATAACCGGTAGTACCAACACACCTACACCTACATATTGTAGTTCAACTGATAATTTTGGAAAATCGCAACTTCAAATTTGAAGTGAGTATCATAAGTTGTTCCTCTGATGTGACTAACGAACAGTGCTCTCGCATCATCCTATATAGGTATTGATATAAGTAATAACGACTTACCATACAAAGTACACATTATTGCATTGTTGTGTGATAATGAAGATTACCTATTATCGAAATGCCATAAACATTTTCTGCAAATACATCTAAGTTTGCCAAACGCGAAATTTCAGTCTTATTAATTGAGTATATAGGTATGTATTTTGCCAAACAATTCAGCGTACTTTTCAAATTACGCCTTCTATATTGGAATTTGTTACCGTAAAATAAACTTAAATTAATAGCTCGCTACTGTTATACCTACGGCCTCCAATAAAGCTTTATATCTGTTCATTATATACATGTAGGTAGACTTTCTGAATTTACGGTTTACATGCGACAACATCCATTAAAAGCTCGCACATTTTACGTAATTAATCAAGGAATGTTTAACACATCAATTCCTTTTACACTTATCCCTAGTGAACGAACTAATTTGAAGCCAGAGTACATAAAATATCCGAGTAATAATTATTAATGATTCATTTTAATCTCTGAGAAGCCAGTTTCTGATTTTTAAGCTTCTCGTTTCCATAAAAATATGATAGGGTTAATATGTTCGGGGCGAGAGGTCTTTGAAATTACCTATTCTTACAGCAACCCTGGTAATTACAATTTAATTCATAAAATGCGAGCTTTTCAAAAGAAGCTGATTAGTGCCTACATTAATTATTTTTGTTGCGTACCTACGTAGGGAAATTTATTCCACTGTACGTTGAGAGACGTTAAAATTAGTGCTTTGTACTATACATGCACTAACGCCGTAATTGTTTTGGGAATAATATATGCTTTTATAATAGCTTGCACTGATGAAGTTATACTTTCAAAGATAGTACTTTTGGAGAGAAAACTTACACAACCATCAGCAGCAGCTTACTTACCTATTAGTAAAAATGTAGCAGAATCAACAGACTAGCAGAGCTAGAGCTTCTATTTTATTTTGTCTAATTAATTCAAGCTTTATAGTTAGTCTTAGCCTGACACACTACGAATGTCTCGAATTAAATGAATATTGTGCCATTCGAATAAGCTTTACGACCTTAATTTTGTACTGAAAGGTACTTATAAGTTAAATTAATTAGATAAAGTGATCTTTAGCAACTATTCTTAGTAAAGGAATAAAATTAATATAAAAATTTACTTACCTTCGCTCGTTGCCATTTTGTAGCTGTTGTTGCCCAATTGTAGCTGGAGATAATCAAAATTGATGGGATAATAACACATTTCGGATAAAATTAAAGTTGGTAATTCGGGGGTTGCCAGAGGGAGGTGGTAAACTAAGATCCATATGAGTAGGAAGCCCGCCATGGCCCACCCTTTTCACCGAGGCATGGCATCAAAGTGCCTCAATTACCACGTCTCTAAGTAACGTTCCACATTTTCGTTTATTCCTTTTTCGCCGCCATTTGCCAACCTGTAAATGGATCCTAAATTAATACAAATTGCAGTATTCGGACCAAAAAAAGGCGCTTATTATAATGAAATAGAGCAATACGTTTCTGGAACTGCCCTCTAGAGTCTTATTTGCATCGGGTTAGAAAAAAAAACCGCACCGCGATTACTGAATAGAAACGAAAACACTACAAATTTATGATTATTTCCTTGTTGATTTTCGCGAACCTTCCTCTACGATGACCGTCGATCGTCGTCACCGCATTTTGTGAAGTCGCACATATAAATTATCAATTTCTTCTAAAAGAGAGTGTACGAGGGATAGGTCTGCTTTCAAATAAGGAAATCTATAGTTTTCCAAACTTCGACGAACTTTACAAACTTTAAATAGGTTTTCTGTTTTAACTGTTAGTTTCAAACAATAGGACAGTTTATAACAAGTTGGAGACATAAAAAAAGTTGTTTATGAATGAACAGAATAATGACAGATTGTAATTTATTTCGTTTCTTTTTCAAGCTCCCACACGCTGTTTTGAACCGCGACTCGACATTGGTACCGAAGGTCTGGTTTGCCCTATTTTGTCAAAGATTCGTATTTTCAATGAACATCAACGTTCTAGAACCTAAAAGCCCATCGACTAATGCCTTCACCAGTTTGAAAGAATTGTTTCTATCCCTGAGTTTCGGTGATCAAGCTCAAAAAATGAGGGTCAACAATAAAATCGCATTACAGCATAATCCTCGTTCCTTTCAATTAAACAATTTTTGCAATTGTACGATTCAGAAGCAGATCTGAAACTGTTATATAAAATACCAAATAGCTGCTAATTAATCGATAATTAATGCTTAGGTACCCATCAGCAGTGCCAGGCATGCATTTCCTGACAGAGTGCGTTCCCAAAGAAAAGTGTTACATACAATTGCTTTTCGCATAAAAGCCCTTAATTTAAAATACCTTTACAATTCTAAATCGAACAAATAGGTAATCATGTCTAGAATTGGTATCGATTGAAAACCGAGAGCGAACAGCGAGTCTTGCAAATTAAACATGAATTGGAGACCTTTAGCCAACCTTTAAGAAATGGCGGAACCTACGAGTAGGCCGAAAAGGAAAAATGAAAATGATTAAGTTTTATGGGGTAAAAGCTTAACTTTTTATCTCCCTTTTGCGGTTTTTATGTAACTCGAACTTTTTATTTGTGTTTCGATGAAATTTTTGGGCGTTAAGGGGGACTAAGTGGGTAGCGATTTGTAAATCAATGCTGTCCTTCACTTTTTCAATATTTTCGCGCGTTAATCTGGATACTTTACGAGTTTAAAGTTTTTAAATTTTTATATTTGCAGAAAGAGGAGTAAAATTCGTTACATTTATTCACGTGCCATGCTTAATAATGAAGGTGTTAACCTTTTAAAATTAGTAAGACAAATTGAAATTTCTACTTTACTCGTTTACGTCACGCTATATACACTCGGGAACGCGATGAAGTAATATACCTAATTCTGAAACGTTATTTGGGGTTGTAATAGAAATTTGAAACTAACGTTTCTACTCATACAACTACCACAGAGAGAATCAAACAAAAAAGGAAATTTACATTTAGAGGAATGACTTCATCAACACGTTGTTGTAGCGTTTCATCGCAAAACAACCATAGTCTGTCCGGCCAAACAGCATTTTTGTGGGGTGAAGACCAGAAACACTGCACAACGATTCAGAATGAATTTTTATTAAATTTTAGCAAAAAAAATTCGTTTTGTCCTGTACCCACTTCTACCGTGTTGAACTACTTTTAGGGGAATGGTCCTAATAGGATATTTTGCAATGGGTAGCCTATGCCTTGAGGGTTTGCAAGACTTCTTTTTCGACTATATATGTTATTTAGGTACAAAATATAAGTATCTGTATCTAGATGCACTGAAACAAATATATGGGTCCGTTAACTTGGCCCCCCCACTGAGAGATTTCATAGTCGTATTATTTTGAAATGAATGCGCTCGTTATGCGCTCATATGCGCCACCGATAATAACTCTTGCGCCATTATCGTTTTTTAGAAATCCGAAAAAACATTGGGGGGGGGGCAAGTGAACGTAGCCCCCCCCAGTACGTATTTTGTCCCTTGTAACTAGGTCACCTGATACATTTGGTTATGCGCTCAATTGCGCCACTTGAATTAAAGCTAGCGCCATTACGGTTAAGCCATAAAAAAATTTAAAAAAGGGGGGGGCTAACTTAACGTTTTCAAAAGTTACGTTTTTTAACATGGTTTTTCTACTATATCGTACCTTTCATCATGCGCTAAAATGCGCCGTGAACAAAAATCTCGGCGCCATTATAGTGTTTCAGAAACACTATACAGGGTGTTTTTTGGGAGCTTTAGTTAAACGATTCTGAGAAAGTAAAATAGGTAGGTTTTTAAAAATTTGTATTTAGGAGTTACTCCGAAGGCCGAATCGATGTAAACTATTTTCAAAATGGACGCACTTCCGGAAATAACTTTTGAAAACGCTAAGTTAGACCCTCCACTTTTTAAAAATTTTTTATGGCTTAACCGTAATGGCGCTAGCTTTAATTCAAGTGGCGAAATTGAGCTCATAACCAGATGTATCAAGTGACACAAATACCGGTAGCAAAATGCGTTATGGGGGATTCCGTTCACTTGCCCCCCCCCTCCCCCAAATATATTTAAGGATAACCAAAAAACAATAATGGTGCAAAGATATCTTTTTACGGCGCATTTCAGCGCATACCTGAGAGTACAATTTCGTATGAAAAGATGTTAAAAAAAAGTAACTTTTAAAAACGTTAAGTTGGCCCCCCCACTTTTTGAAAATTTGTCACGGCTTAACCGTAATGGCGCTAGCTTTAATTCAAGTGGCGCAATTGAGCGCATAACCAAATGTATCAGGTGACCAAGTTACAAGGGACAAAATGTTTTTTCGGATTTCTAAAAAACGATATGGCAAATGCCAAAATATGTCATGCATGTTTAGATACAGCTTATACTGTCTGTCCTGTCCATCTGAGGATTTGAGATCTCAGCACTCAGACCACATTTATTTAATTGGTGTAAGTATGTAGGCCGGACGAAATGAAAGAATTGTGTTCAAATATCATAGGGGCATTTTGTTTTTAATTTACATTTCTTTTTTAACTACCTTAAGTGTTATATATATTTTTATCGGTTTAGACGAGGCCCACATGATAATTTACGCAAATTTTGTATAGTTCAGACCCCCATTCGGTTATCCCCAAATTTACAACCATAGGTAGTTGCTGGCGACGCGTTTCTCCTAAAAACATACAATTTTGGGACTGTTTTTGGTTTTTGTCTTAAATCTTAAATTATGAAAGTTGCAATAATCGATTCCAAAAGCTTTATTAGGTAAATATTATTTAATTATTAAAGGACAATCTGATTTGTAATAGTTTCAGCCCATCCCCCGTGGGTACAGCACTTTATTAAAACTTGGATGTTTTGGAAAATGTGTAATTGAACCGTGCTCAGAAAACTTTATCAATAAAATACATGACTCATCTGAAGAATGTACCTACTTTGCTGATTTGACTATCATAGGTGCAGAATTCAGGGAGATCTTGGTCGTACCAGCAATTTTAAAAATTCCTATACCACCTATGCATTTAAAATTATTTAAAAATAGGTTTTTCAAAAGCAAAATGTTTGATATATTTGCATGATGGGTTGCGCCTAAGTACACTAATCAATTAAACAACTAGCAAGCTAAATTGTGATTCTTTTGGTATATAATTACCCAATTATCTATACCTCTCTCTCAACGTTCTTGGTAATTATACAGAGTAGTGAAAAAAATTTAAACGTTCAAAGCAACTATCCAAATACTTCGAATAGGGAATACATTTTTCGCGCATCTACACGTAGTGGCTTTAGGGTAGCGAACGAAAACTTTTTCAAACGCAATTAACGACCAGAATAAAGTACTGCATGACAAAATAATAAGTATAATTTCTATTGTAGTTGCGATGCGAACTTATATCGGGCGATCAAAAATGAGTTGCTGTCGAGTCGCCTTTGGAAGTTCAAGTTAAGTACGATTTCCCATGTAAACAAAAATTCCAAAGGTGACTCGACAGCAACTCATTTTTGATCGCATAGTATCTCATCGCGCGGGAAGGCATTTAGCCTGTCTCGAGAAGTTTTCTTTGATGAACCAAAAAATTCTAGAAAAAATCTTCCGCGGTCGACTATTGTATCACCTAATCGCGCCATACAAAATCTAAAGTTTTCGTGACATTAAGACTTACAACGGTCCTAATTATTTTTCTTGCGCTACGCCCATATGTTTACGTTATTTTTAATCCGATAAAAGTGTTTGCGAGCCAACTTTCAAAGAGGTGGAAAAGTTTGAGAACGGCACACGTTTGCGAGACGTCCGCGGAAACGGTACCGACGCGACGCGTGCTTACGTTGTATTGCGACGACGTCACCTCCAGAACTAATAGGTAGCCTGGGAAGACGTCGGCGCCTCGATAGACGCCTGGACCGGGAGCATCGATCGCGTTTATACCCTCTATAATATTCTATAAGTGAATGTTTTCACTTAAGTGATACGAGAGGTTTAAAGCTTGCCAGCGTCCTTAAAATTAGATTAATTGCCATAATTCATTTGAAATTATTTTTTTTAAATTGGTGTTGGTGTTTTTCGTGTCATGGGGTTGTCAGCTTACAGTTAGTGAGTTCGCCACTAGATGGACTTGTCTCAGTTTTTTATTATTGTACTAGATGTGCAATTACACAGCAAAATTGCTTTTGTATTGTTTTTCGTTTAACAGTTTTGTGTTGGTTTTTTTCCTTGCATTATTATTCAACTGTAAGTATACCATAATGATTGCGTCACGATGTAGGAATGTTGTAATACTTGTACGTGGGAGCTTGTTGTTTCGTAAGTGTTAAAGCAGGATAGTTTGTTGGGTGTAAACGGGAGTTTGTAGTTATACAAAACATCCGCGATTCCCATCTAAAACTAAACGGGACTCCCATTAGAAGCGCATGCGTTGCTTGTTACGATTTCAAAAACCACGTTTGTAATATTATTCTTTTATAAATAACCAAATATATAGGGTCTAAGGACTCTTTATCACAGACGTTTTGGAATTAAACGATACTTTCATTGGTTTACCGTGGGGTAAAATTTCGATTGTGAAGAATTTGGCGCTGCATTTTTAAAAAAAGTGAGCGCATGCGCCTTGGAAAAGAGCCAAGTTTAGATTTAGGTGCAAGTAACAGCCGTGAGTTTAGTTGACAGTTTTCCAAAAATTTCACATCCACGAAGTTTTTCTTATTTCTCGTGCTATTAAAATTAAGTACGAGAATTAATTAGGACGTTTAGTGAAAATCATGATCAAGTGTTTAGGTATGTCCAAAACTAAAGGTCTATTATGTGCTTGTAACATCTGCACATCATCCTCATTTTTAGTTTTATTGCATTTGTAACTTCAATGTCGTTCGTTCGTATGTGATTTAGTCCTTGTAATGGAAGTTCGTGTACATTCCTTTGTGTGTTTACGTTTATTTCTTCATAGTTTGTAAGAAAATTTCATTATTTTTAGATCTTGAATCAGTTCTTAATGCAGAACCAATTAACAGTTACTAGAATTGTTGATTTTTGCGCAGATATCAAGCAATCTGCTATCAATATCAATCTGTCAGTATTTCTTAATTTCATACAAAATTACACCATGTTACATTTTAGTCAGACATCAAAGTATCAGAGCACATTGAAGAGAAAAGGTAATGAGTGTCACTGGTAAGTGGGTGTGCTGTGAACGCATCGTCTATGGCAGATCCAGCTAACACACCCGCTGCTGACAGCACGAGCCGCCGAAAGCGTGCGTTGCCTGTGCAGCCACGTACGGAAGCCAAACGTCTTCGCACGTCCACACAAGAAGCTCGCGCTTCTCAAAGTTTCTCTTCTCAAAACACACCTAAGCAATCCCAGGTAGTTGCGCTGATCATTAATCACAAATTAACCCTTGGCAATTTTAGATTAAAAGCCGCTCGAGGAGTAGCAGGCGTAGATCAAAATTGGTTGATGATCAAACCTCGTCGTCTCAATCCCAAGTACCAGACATATCGGCGAACAAACCTAGCTCTATTCCAGTCTTGAAAAATCGCCGTTCCATCAAACAAAAGGAAAAACGCAAACCCGAACAGAAAGGTGATTCACAAAGAGACTCGTCATCAGATAAACATTTAAAAACAACCAAGCGCCAGTCTCTAAATAATCTTAAAGCAAGTACAACCTCCGTGGCAAGTGTAGAAAGTAACAGTACTACATCGTCCACTTCGAGACACCGTAGTAACAAAAACTTGCGAGCTTCAGAACCGAGCACCAGCACCAGCAAGATCAGTGATAAAAATAGTGTTAAAACAAAAGTTAAAAATAAAACCAAATTAGACACTAAAATTAAAAAGGAGCCTAAAAGTAGTAAACGCATATCGGAAAATTTACGGTCGAAGAGTGCAAAAACGGAGGCGAGCTGCTCGAGTTTAAACGCGACATATCCAAGTTCAACCCACAGATATCCGTCGGCGCAACGAAGAATAACTGTGGATCAATCTGTGCCTCTTCAGTTGATACGTAAGTCGGGCGAAAAACGTAGAACGCGCGAATCCAAAGAGCTGGGGGTTAGTAATAGTCAACCGGTCGCGCGGGAGGAGAACGAGCCTTCTCGCCTCTCCCGCGGTGGAGCTGTGTTGCGACGCAGCACGAGAAATAAGGGTAGGTTTTGTCGGGTTTGCGGAGGGGCATTGCTAATTTTCAATCGTTTTAGGGCACGGCGCAACAACGGGTTCCTGTGCGAGCTCGAGTGGTGCGAGTGGCAGCGGCAGTAGCTCCAGAAGAGCGACCCGCCAACATAAGGTGGGGGCCGCGGCCCCTGCACCACTCTCTACGTCGGCATCTCATACGGCCACAATGGCCGCCGATCAACCGGAAATGCCTAACAATAGCTTATCAGGTAATTATCTCAAACATTCGATTAAATTGTGATTCATTGCTTCGTGGTTTTGTGATTGTTTTATTTATTTCACTCAAGAAAATGTTGATAAAGTTTTAGCGATGATTATGAATGAATCAGGCAACTCAAATGCAAGTTGTGACAAAGCTTTGCTCTAATTGAGGCTCCATATTATTTTCCTCACTTGTTGACATAGCATTATTAAATGGTAGAGTAATTGTAAACCTTTTGATACATTCCAGAAAAAAAAAGTTGCCCAATGGCCTTTTTATACAATGTCACTGGCAATGATGGGTCTTGGGCGATTAATAGAATATGAACAATATAAATACAGCGCCATAAATATTAAGGTTATTCCAATAAAAGGTTGCTTTTTATTTGATTAAAATGAGGCTGTCATTTGTTTTTTTGACATTTATTGAGCGGGTCTATTTTGTAATTATAACTATTCATCAGAGCCTGCCATTAATTTTTACGCAGTGGCGACTCGTGAGTATCGGAAGAGGGTGGTTTTTTGTGCATAAAATCCATTCTTCTATTTTTCAAGTCGGAAAACACGTCAATAACGTTTGTCAAAATTCGGGATAGACTGGACAAAGTTCTTTTCTATTGATAGGGCCGCAATTAAAATGTTTCAAAAATCTGATACGGCTGAATACCGAACAATCCTTGACTAAGCTGACGACTGCTTTGTTTACTCAGATTCGAACTACCTTTTTCTGAATGCAGACAGACCATTTTAAAAACTCCACAATTTCGTTTGATAAAAACTCCTTATCGCAAACGACCAGATGTCCCTACATTTTAACACGCAATTGTACGTTTTACAATTAAATAGACAAATCATAAGAAACAAAAGCGATAAAACCATAATAAAAGAATTACGCAATTACAAACAATTCCAAAAGGAAAAAAAACACTGAGAGACAAATTCAAATACAATAACCATGTTTGTGCTTATTCGTAAATAACCCCCCATATTTATACACTTAATAAATTGAAATATTTTCATATACAGGGTGGTGTTTCTGTTGCAAAATTGTCGGATTTGTTGGAAGTTGAAGGCAGTCAAGAAAAGATTACTTTACCTACTTTGTTATTATTTAATCTCAGAGGCACTGTCCTGATTTGGTCCCTGTGCTGCAGTCCCGAATGGGAAATAGCAGATAACATTTTGTACACCGACCATCCATTTAATGTGTAAATTCTCGGAAATCAACGAAATATCCTTGGACATCATGGAATATCCTTGAATACCTGTGCCGTGGATATCTGATATTTCTTTGGAAAGCTGCTGATTTCCTTTAGAATCTACAGATATACACGTAAATGCATTGCAAAGCTTGTAACCAATGGGTAGTGTTGTAAAATTCACGTAATTTATTATCATTGTGAATATTTGAGAATTTATGGTAATATTCATCCTTTACAAAATATAATAATTATACTTACTATGCTATACTAATTACAATGCACAAAAGACCGAATAAATCTTTTAATAAAGTTATGTTTTTTGTTTTAAAACAATAAAACTCTTAAATTATTTATTTAATATACTTTAAAAAAAACTTTTTAGTCTCCGTTCATATGCCAAATCAAAGCTTTAAAAATTCAGACAAATTAAAGAAAACTCACTCAAAAATTCAAAAATAAGAACCAAGATTCAAAAGCTCACAATGTAAGTACGTCAATGCAATGACAAATCTTATCTTGCTCTCTTTCTCATTATACCGCTAAGGCAAAAAGTTCATGATCTTTTTTGCTGGGAAAACGGCGAAACATATTGTCTTAAAAATATCAAAGATCTTAAAAACCCTCTATTTTTTTGATAATCGCGCACAAGATATACAGGATGTTACCTTAGGAAAAACTTTTATCCACGGGAATATTGAAAAACGGTTTTTAGGTACATTTTCGTCTCCGTTTCCAAAAAACTTTCCTTGCGTTTGGCCGTTTTCACGGATCTTAGTACACAGGGTGTTTCGCGCAAACCGTTACCCAAAAGTATTCAGGTGCTCATTGAGAATTTATCTGAAAGTTTATACCAACATAGTTTTTCATGATCTATCGAAAGAAAATATTAACATGATCATTTCGCATGTTGATTTTACCGGATGTGGATAGCAACTTGTTTTAAATAGAACATCCTATATTTTAATACATTTTCAAAATCTGCGTCGATTGATACCACATTTCCCTATATCCATCATTGAAGGTTTAAGAGTTATTCTAGATTTATCAAAATTTTTGACGTTTGACTGCCTTCTTTGGACTGTGTACAGGGTGGTTCAAATTTGTGACTCACCACGTTAACCACGTTAAATGGGGGCAAAGTTGCCCCTTTTTGTGCTTAAAAAAAAAGCATTTGACATTTTTGAAAATATCTGAGCTAGGTATCACTGAAAAACTAAAAATGTCAAACGAGATGTCAAATTTCGTTTTTATTTTCTCTATGTT